ACCGGCTGTCACCCCGCGTCCATCCCCAGCTGTCCCACCCTCCCAGGACAAATCCCGGGGCCCCTCCTCACCTCGTTGGTGGAGCTCTCCACGAAGGGGCCGCCGAACATCGCGGCCATCCAGTCGCAGCTGGAGATGAGCAGGGGCTTGTGGGCACTGATAGCACCGTCATCCAGCACGAAGGTGACATCTGGGGACAAGCAGAGGGATGCTACTGGGACTGTCCCCAACGCCCAGGGCTCGGCCACCCCCTGCCACAAAACGTCTCGCACCGAGGACAGCAGAGGGAGGGGGATTGAGTCTGGCATATCCTATAATGTGCCCTAAAGATCTCTATTTTTTTTCCCAACATCCTCCGCCAGCTCAGAGGAGCTCAGGGAAGGGCCGTGGCGGGGCTCCGGCTCGTCCGAGGGATTTACCCAAGGCATCCACGCAAAGGGGAAAACCCAGGAATCAAATGGCTCACCCAAGCTTGAGTCCTTGGGAGAGCTGGGGAGGATGCTGGGGATCTCCTGCCCCTCCTACTCTGCTCTCCACCCCAGACCAGGGCTTCTCCCCAAGGTGCGCCAGGGGCCAGCACGCATCTGTCCGCTGACAGCGACAGCTTGACCACATCAAGGTCCATCCTCGTGAAACAAATTCAGCTGGAGGGAGGCTGGGACATTCACCGCCCCCCTGGGACATCACCCGGCAGCATCACGGCACAAGCCGGTGGCACGTGGTGCTCGGCAGAGAGCCAGGGCCAGGGAAGTCCTACCAAGGGCACGTTGCTCCTTGTAAATCAGATGACCCTGTGAAAATCTGGGCCCGGGAGGGAAGGAAGTTGCCTTTGCTGCTCTCTTGTAAATAAACAGAGCTGTCAGGCGGGCTGGGGAGCAGGAAACCCTGGGGAAGGGCCATGACACACACTTTCTGGGAAGAAAATAAAAAAAAAAGCTATAAAAATCCCAGAAAGGCAAAGTGTGACCAAAAACCCCGGGGAAGGCGAGTGAGCGCCTGCTGACTCGCAGCACAGCCGCCCCCACTCACACATCGGCACGGGGCAAAGCCAGGAGCTCTGAGTCCCCCATCCATCTGGCAGAGCCCCCCGCCAAGGGAGAGGGGGTGCTGTGGATGGTGCTCCCCCTCAGCCTGGAGTCGTACCCGAGAAGGTCCCCTTGGCCAGGCATTCCTTCACCCGGTTGGTCCTCCGGACGTGGAAGGCTTTGGTGATCTCCTGGTTCATGAAAGCCTCGTTGTTGAGGATGTTGGCCACCATCATCCGGAGGTCGAACACCTCCAGCAGCTCAGCGATGTGAGCAATGTGCATGAGGTCCCGCTCGTTCTCATCCAGCTCCCCTGTGTACAGGTACTTCAGCACGGCCCGGAAAGGACCCGGCTGGATGGAAGCATCCATCTTCACCACCACCATGAGCTTGGACTTGTAGGTCAGAGGGTCTTCTGCCATCTCCTCCTGAATGCTGGTGAAAGCCCGGCTCCAAGAGGAGAGGTCCCTTCCCCGCCGCAGCCCACGCTCCCCGTTCTCATAGCGGTTGCCCCGCAGGATCCCATCACTGGTGGAGGCTCTAAGGCACGGTTTTCGCTGGCCGGATCCGGCCTCCTCGGTGCTCTCGCAGATATCAAAGCTAGCGG